TAGTAGATACCGAAATGTACATAATTATGTTAAACCATGTTGGGTTATTATCCACATAAAAACTGGTATTATTAGAACGTTTGCCTCCATCTATCTGTATCTAATTAAATAAGCATTCTGAAATTTTATGCATTCATTTTAAACCAAAACTGTTAATATCTCGTGGTTAGTTACAGACCAATCGGTTTCAAGCGGAAATAGGAACAAAAGTAATAATATTTACATCCAGTGATATTCGGTTATAATGGTACAATTCAAATTTATCTTAATATCCGGTACCGAAAGAAAAAACAACAACATTGCGTTATATTATTTTGCCCTTTAAATGTCAAGGTCACTACTTGTCTACTTCTAATGCGCTTATTTTAGTTTAAAAATAAAGATGTTAATGCACTGAAACTGCTACCTATACAGACCATACTGCAGCTCATCTACTGAGCTTTGTTGACATATGGAAAGAAGAGTATTTCTCTTGCAAATCTTCACAATGAAACTTATTTGTTAGATTAGCATGTTTCAGATTCTATAATAAACCATTAATGCGATGTTTATCTAATCTTTACAGCGTCTAGAGTGTTAATTCATTTTGGAAGTGTTTACATGGACTCTTGTCTGATATATAACGTCACAGAAAACAGAACAAGGAAACTTCACAAAACAAATATACAAATATATAAACGTGTATGTGTGTATATATAATGACATCGTTGTTAAAATCGATAATGTTATACCAGCTGACTGTCATGACAAGATAAATACAAATCCTTTGTGAGATAACTTTAAAATACACAAACTTTATAACTCAAACCCGCTTTGGAGATTCTCAATTTTCATCTATCAATGATGTATAATAGTAAGCAATTTCCATCCATCTAGGAATTTTGATAAATATATTTTCTTTTTAACTATACAGTTATAAATTTAGGGTAAACTTCCAACAATATGCCTATAATATTATTAAGCTGATTGGTTTTCTTCAGCCTGATCCTTTCTTTTCATTGAAATTAACTGTCTGGTGAGTGTTTCTCTGTGAAGATACCTGAAATGGAACATTTTCACTGCAACTAGTATACAGCACATGTTTGTAGATAGAGAGGCTTCCAAAATAAAACAACAACAAAAAACTATCTATCATTATACAGATTTAGTCTAAAAGGACTGTTCCTACCTGTTTTTGAGTAGGACATCGTTTTGGCTTCTATATACTGAAGCCTTATTTTTCAGATCCAAGTCAAAGTCATTAATTCATAGTTTGAAATATTGACTTTATTAAGAAGTCCTGAGCTGTACGCAATCTATTTTAGTCAACATAAAAAGTATTTATGAAAACAAAAACATTCGATCTATGTGTTCAGATTTGTTCTTACAAGCTACTCATGATATTGCAAATGAACAGAAAAAAAAATTAACGTCAGAAAACAAATCCGATAAACTGAGACATTTACTCCTGATGACGGAAAGTCCGCTTTATGAAAGCGCTCACGTTATTGTGTTTCTATCCTGATCATACCAGGTTAGACATTTCTACTTTCAATACTAACATAATGTTAAAAATAGATACTTATAAACATAATTTCTCAATTTCTTGAAAAACTGTTATGGGATGAAAAAAAAAAGAGCATGCATAAGACAGAAGAAAATTTAACATATCAAAATTGTATATGAAATACGACGAACAAAGTCAACAAAAACTATACATTTACGGAAATAAACTTGATAGAACTTAATATTCAAAATATATACCCACCTCCTACTCACCTAGTAATATACTCAGTGAACCGGGGCCTACAGAAGGGGAAAAAAGGTTGCTGGGTGATATTTTTAACGAAACTATTGATAATATTTGAGAAGTTCGTAAGGCCGTCTTATTATGTTTCTTATTAGATTTATTACAGATTCGGGCAAGTATTGTATTTTTTACAAACAACTCTTTATTTTATAGGCTTGATGTAGAATCATTGTTCTCGACTTTCTGATCCATAGTGTGCATGTAATTAGAGCTGAAAATATAACTTTATGTCGATATATCCAAAGTTCTTCGGATGCTTGACATTGCGAGGGTTAATACATAGACTCTTGCTGGTTAAGAATCACGAAAAACATATTGAATACCGTTTCTGACAGTTTTTGACACACCCTGTAACATGTCTAAACTGGTTCTTAATGTGCATATTTCGAAATTGGTGTTCCTAGGACGGATGGTTTGTGAGATATAATCGTTTTTATTATGTATTTTTTTATAATCGCACTTTACTTGACGTCATATACAAGTTCGTACACATATGGTGTATATGAACCAAAACATATATAAACCATAGTTTTCAGGAACTAGATTGATTGAGCCTAAACGTTAAAATGTGTAAGCATTAGTTAAAAACCATTTTAGTTAACTTACAACACATCAATCTAACTTGTAACACATTAAGTTAACTTACAACACATCAAGTTAACTTGTAACACATTAAGTTAACTTACAACACATCAAGTTAACTTGTAACACATTAGGTTAACTTGTAACACATTAAGTTAACTTAAAACACATCAAGTTAACTTGTAACACATTAAGTTAACTTACAACACATCAAGTTAACTTGTAACACATTAGGTTAACTTACAACACACCGAGTTAACTTACAACACATCGAATTAACTTATAATACATTTAGTTAACTTATAATACATTAAGTTAACTTTTAACACATCGAATTACGTTACAACACATCAAGGAGGAACATGTTATCATTAATGGTTATAAAGAATATAATTGTTTGTTTTTGTAACTGAACTATTTGTAAGTGTACGCATGTACGCTAGTAACGTAAAAGTTTCTGTTATTTTGATTGGTACTGATGAAGGACTTGCTCAGTTTAGTACAATTGGAATATTCATAGGTATACATATTTATCTGAATAGGTTAAAACTACAGGCTTATTTGAGATCAATAGGAAGGTATTTTGTAACTTTTCATTAGATCTGAGAATTTACTCTGCTCTATGTAGTTAGCTTCCTTAGAATAATAATAATATTAAAAAATAGAAACTCTGAGCTCGGCACATAATAATTCTGATATAAAAAATCCGATCAAACAAAACAGAAGCTACAAAACTATGATTTCCGGACATGATGTACAAAGTTGACATCTGATTTCCGGACAAGATGTACAAAGTTAACGTTTTACATCAGTGAAGAGCTTTAAACTTTCAGATTTGTACAGCTTATTCATTCCGTGAAAAACAAAAACAGATAGATGATACATCACATTATCGTAAAGTCATTTGAAGCAACATGGGCCTAATGTAGATCTACAAAACAAATTATATTCTGTTCTATGCAATAACTATATATTTGAATAAATAAAAAATCCAGACTTATGGGTTTTCAAGGCGTACCCATCACAATTATTAATAAACGAATATGCAAAGTATAGAAGTGTTTGATTTTATGAAGTAATGTAGGCCTATTTTGACACTATACTTTCCAAAACGTTTTTTTTTCTAAAGAGGAGCTTCTACGCGTGAGGTGATCATTATATCAATATCATAATATATACAATAGTGATGACTAAACTAAACGGTTATCTAAAACGCCTAAGCTGGCGAAGCATTGATTCTTTTTTAGGCCTAACAAAAATGGTTAAAATCATGCTTGAGTGCAACTATTTATTAGGAATCTGTAAGGGGTTATCTAAGAGGAAGGTAAAATATATATAAACAAAAACATCTGTGACATGACCTTATTACTGTAACAAAACAGTTTGTGTCGTAAAAACGTTATAAACGCGACTAGTAGTTATGTACGCTCTGATATATTAAAAATATATATATAAACAAAAACATCTGTGACATGACCTTATTACTGTAACAAAACAGTTTGTGTCGTAAAAACGTTATAAACGC